AGCCAGAGATGGTATTTGCCAGTTCTCCGAACTACTCAAAATTTCCACTACCGGTTCTCCAGAACCTGTCACAACCTGCTGAATTTCACCTCTTAAATCATCCAAAGACAACTCTATGATCCAATGCGCGCACATGCACAGACAGACAAGAGGGAATTGAGGCTCCGGGCCACGTCACCTGAAAAGAACTCAGTTACATCTACTTCCGTGCAACGGTAGGGCAAGCCTCGCAGTCGTACCACCCCGTCGTTGTTTACGGGCGCTGAACGGAACTTCAGGCTCCTCATCAGGGTATCAACGTCCTTATTACGTATTTCAAAAACTGTTGGGAAGAGAAGTCCACAAAAAAAAAGAGAGAAAAGGAAAAGAAAATTGCTGAATTTATTTAGAAATGGATAGGCAAAGGGTTTGGGGATCGTTTCGAAAAGAACTACCTTCCACATAACGCTGGCCCAGGTATTTCCGGTGTTTGTTCAAGGCATTCATCACGTCGTGCTCCGATTCAAGCTCAACTATTGCATCTCCCCTGCGCTTGCCATCGCGGTACAGGAGGAAATGGATGCCTTCCACCCCGTTTCGGATCTTGCTCCCTAGAAAGTTAGCAAATTGATTGATGACGAGACACAAGACACCTTCCTTGCCCCCTCACCCCCACCTCCCACCAGAGATGCATAAACTGGAATGTATTTGGACATTTTGCGTTTGGTATTCCCCAGCCCTAGCTTCAAAACTTCTGTAATCTCGTCAATATCTCAAGAGCCAGCTTGGTCTAGTGCAGGGGTCGGCAAAGAGCCACAAAGGCCCTAACCGGAAGCCCCCTGTTCAATTCTGGAGCTAACCAGAAGTCTGGTTTTCCCCCACCCTCACAGAGTTTCCTAGCACGGCATCCTTTTTCCTCCGCTGATCGGAAGTCTGGTTCCCCTCTACACCATAGAGCAGTGTTTCTCAACCTTGGTGACTTTAAGTCCTGTGGACTTCAATTTCCAGAATTGAAGTCCACAGGACTTTGGGAGTTGAAGTCCACAGGACTTAATGTTGCCAAGGTTGAGAAACACTGCCATAGAGTCTCCTCCTAGCACAGCGTCCTTTTTCCTCTGCCGACCGGAAGTCTGGTCCCGCCACCATAGAGTCTCCTCCTAGACTGGCATTCTTTTTCTTCTACCTGTCCTAACCAAAAGCCCTAGAGCCGAGGTGGCGCAGTGGGTAGAGTGCAGTACTGCAGGCCACTTCAGCTGACTGCTAGTTCAGCAGTTCAGTGGTTCAAATCTCACTGGCTCAGGGTTGACTCAGCCTTCCATCCTTCCGAGGTGGGTAAAATGAGGACCCAGATTGTTGGGGGCAATATGCTGACTCTCTGTAAACCGCTTAGAGAGGCCTGAAAGGCCTATGAAGCGGTATATAA